TGGAAAAGATGAGGGGTGATGGGCACAAATTAATCCTGGGGAGATCCTTTCTTTCACCAAAGGGAAATCTTTCACCATGAAAACAACCAGCCGTTAGAATAATCTCCCAAGGGAAGTGGTAGACTCTTCAATGCAGGACAGTTAAGCTTCGGCTGACAGGGTGCTGGGACATCTAGTTTAGGTCATTCTTTGCCTAGAAAGTTTGGACCAGATCCAACCTTGAGGTCCCTTCCAACCTGGTATTCATGATTCTATGACCTGTCTTTGGTGTTTTAAAGGTAGATTAAAGAGGAAGGTGTGATGCCTGTTGGTTCTGATGTCCTTAGTCATGGTGGGAAGGGCATTGTGCACCAACAGCTGCTTCACTCCACTAATATGCCCCCACCAGCCGGGACTAATGTGCCTAGCTGCTTTGCAGACACCAATATTGAAGTATCTGTTTGATTTATAACACTTTGGAGAGAAATCAGGACACGTGGTGGGTTGGAGCGATTTAATTTCCTCTGCTTGACACAGTCGCAGCACTTTCCTGTCCCACTGTTTTTAATTTCCACTTTATTTTTTTTTGTACATTCATACTTCTCTGGGGCTACTGATCGCATGTTACTGTCACACAGTCCCCTGGGGAATTCATCTTTTTCTGATGGCATCAGTGCAAACGCAGAGTGATTTCAATGGAGCTACCAGAACTCATGCAGCTGGACCATGCTCTCATGGTGCTTTATGCTGGTGTTGAGCAGACCAAGAGGCATCTTGGGTCAGAAGCAGGAGGGGGCTGGTCTTGCAGTTGTGTTTGCTGCTCTGTGATCTGTACAGAGCTTGTCTGGATGAGCACTCTGTTAATTATCTCCATCTGCTGACAAGGAGTCCAGACCCAATGAGATTGCTCTCCATGGGCTCCTGGCTGTAGCACCCACAGCTCCCCTTGCTCTGCTGCGCTGGCTGTGTGCTTCTCCCAGAAAGCTGGAATTTGTTTACCCTGAACCAATTTATCTTATTTCCAGTTTAAAATACAAAAAGTACATGGGTTACAGCAAAATAATTGGCAGCCTGCTGATTAATAATACAGCTGACAGAACTAAATTGGGCTGCAAGCTCAAAGCGCTGAGGAAAGCTAAAATTTGGTGAGCAATGTGCAACAGAGAGAAGACTGCCGAGGCAAGCAACACTGTTTTGCTGCCTCACACAGGAAACCCGATTCTGTTAAATCCCCTTTTCCCTACCCCACCATACAACCTTCCATCCTTTGAGGTGGTCAAGACTAAGCTGTGAGGAATCTGATCTGAGAAGATGTGCTCCAAGATGGACTGGGTTATTCCAGAGGTCCCTTCCCACATAAGTTGGCCTGTGGTTCCCCACAAGCAACTGTAACATGGGAAATTCTTACCACACAGAGTAATTCTTAAAATGCTGATGTATACGAGCAAGTTTTTTCTTCTTTCATGGGTCCTTAGGTGCTCCCAAAGCCCACCAGTTGGTCTTAGCACCTCTGGAACTGTGGCCACTTTTACACTGATTCTTCATTTTATCAACTTTGTTATGAGAAAAAGTCTATTCTCTACCTGTTGTGTGTGGGTTGGTGAAAGCATCAATGATCCATCCCAAGGTGTACTACTGCAGGTCACTAATGGACAGGGCAACCACATGACATGTTGTACCTTGTTCCAGGTGCTGATAAAACACTGGGAAGTGTCTCGAAAAGAAGGTATTAAAAAGGATGTGCTGAATGTTCCCTTTGGGAACACTGGTGCTGGGCTGACTCCTACCACTTCACTGATGACACAGGTGTCCAGGTCTGGCAGGGAATTTCTGAGCCTCATGCATGCTGTAAGCACTTGGAGCAGGTAATGATTTAACTTCCTAAATATGCTGGAGAAGTCCTGTAATGAGAGATGCAACAATATTATGCAGGACAAACATTTTGCAGTGGGTATAAGGGCATTGTTTTGCAGCTGGGGTTAAATCTACACACAGACAGGGTATAAACCCCCAGTACAGTCTGAAAATCACCCCTGTGGGCCTCAGCTTGCTTGCCTGTCAAAGGGGTGAATTTTAGCCTCTAAATAAAATGCTGCTGCGGTTAGACAATTCAAATGCCCCCTCTCTCTATGAACATATGAAGTGTAAGAAAAGGATAGAGCAGAGTAAAGCAGCCTCTTCCTAAAGGTGTCTGTCTAATAGCCCAAGCCTGCTGCAGGAAAGCCAAATCCCTGACTTCCAGGACTAATGCTTCACTATTCTGCGTTTGCCTTCTCTGTGCTTCTCACAGAGGAGAGGGAGAGAGCTTGGATTAAAATCCACGTTATGGCAGGGTTAAAAAAGAGGTTCTTACAGCTCCCACTATTGGCACACGCTTCAGGCACCAGCACTGCCTGCTTTGATCAAGCGCGCTGGGTCCCTCCTCACCAATCATGGGAAATTAATGTAAACACTCAGGTTATGGAAAGCTTTGCTTCTCTTCTGCTTACAAAGAGACACAACTCCTCATGCATGAAGATGCAGCACAGGCCTGTGATTATCTATTCAGGCTCTACAGTGTTTAATTAAGTCCCTCATCATGTTACCATTCTGTCTCTCTTCATCCCACGTGGAAACACATTGTCTTGCACTCATCTCATGCTAGAGAGCAGGAGCACCTGTGTGTATATGCATGTGCCACAACAGCACCATTATGCACCCACAAGTGCCAAAACCCTGCAATTTATGGCGCGCAGTTTGAGTTGTGCCAACAGCACATGCTTTAAGTATGCCATTTCCATTCATTACACGTGGCAGCTTGGTGGTCATGATGAGCTATTGCTGAGTTTAATCACTGCATTTGAACGGAGATACCCCTTTCTCTCATCAGCGTTCAGGACAGATTCTGCCAGGCTGTGGTGTTTATTGCTGGAGTGGTGTGAGGGCTGCTGCACAATGCAAATGGAGTTTGTTTGTCACACAGCGCTGCTCTGGCAACAGGGTCCTGGAGCCAAGGTCCTGTGAGGTGCTGAGCACTGCTGGGTTTTCTGAAATGCTGGTGCTATCCAGCCTCTACCAAACAAACCAGCTCTTTAAAAGAAAATATAATTTATTATGTGCATCGACATACACTTACTGCTTCATTGCAAGGACCATCGAGTCAGTGCCGAGGGTATCACCACATGGTTTACTGTAATAAAACCTTGAAGCAATATGCCAGTCAGTAGATGTTTGAGAACACCTTTGCCCAAGAACCCCCATTTTGCCCCAAGAAGCTCTTCCAAGAGCAAGGTCCTGCCCCTGGCTCAAGGCAATCCCCTGAACAAACACAGGCTGGGGGAGAGGGGATGGAACAGCCGTGAGGAGAAGGACTTGGGGTGTTGGGTGAGGAGAAGCTCCCCGTGACCCAGCTTCAGTGAGCGCTTGAGCCCAGAACCCCCCCGTCTGCTGGGCTGCACCCCCAGAGTGTGAGCAGCAGCTCAGGGAGGGGATCCTGCCCCTCTGCTGCGCTATGGGGAGACCCCCCCCTGCAGTCCTGATCCAGCTCTGGGGCAGCAGCACAAGAGGGACGTGGAGCTGTTGGAGCGAGGCCAGAGGAGGCCATGGAGATGCTGCGAGGGCTGGAGCAGCTCTGCTCTGGAGCCAGGCTGAGAGAGCTGGGCTGGGGCAGCCTGGGGAAGAGAAGGCTCCTGAAGGGGAGACCTGAGAGCAGCTCCAGTGCCTGAAGGGGCTGCAGGAAAGCTGGAGAGGGGCTTGGGACAAGGGATGTAGGGACAGGCCAAGGGGAATGGCTTTAACCTGCCCGAGGGGAGACTGAGATGAGCTCTTAGGCAGAAGCTCTTTGCTGTGAGGGTGCTGAGGCGCTGGCACAGGGTGCCCAGAGAAGCTGTGGCTGCCCCATCCCTGGCAGGGGCCTGTTTAGTCTGGAGAAGAGCAGCCTGAGAGGGGATCTCACTGATGCAGATCAATATCTCAAAGGTGGCACCAGGAGGATGGTGCCAGGCTCTTTCCAGTAGTGCCCAGTGACAGGACAAGGAGCCATAAAGGAAAACACAAGAAGTTTCACCTCAACATGAGGAAGAACTCCTTTGCATCGAGCGTATCAGAGCACTGGGACAGGGGGGTTGTAGAGTCTCCCTCCCTGGAGACATTCAAACCTGCCTGGACACGCTCCTGTGTGACCTGCTCTGGGTGGCCCTGCCTTGGCAAGGGCAGGACTGGATGATCTCCAGAGGTCACTTCAACCCCAGCCATTCAGGGAACGCTGGCTTGGGGCAGGCCCACATTAACACCAGCCAGAAGATATACGTGGGCTACTGCGGGGGGAAAGGGCAGAAACACAGCCAGGGTTGTGGTGGTTTTGGGAGGGAGGGGGCTCAACACCTCTGTGTGAACCAAATGCACTGGGATACCCTCCTCGGGGCTCCTCACAGGGACCGTGCCGGGGGTGGGGGGGGATGAAGATGGTGACCCAACCCCCTTAGGTGGCTCCTTATAGGGGTTATGGCGGATGTGGGTGTATATATAGGGGACTGATCGCCTCAGGAGGCTCCTCAGAGGGACTATGGCAGGGCGGGTACGGCGATCACAGACAAGATCCCCTCAGGCGTCTCCTCACAGCGGGAGGAGGATGAGGGTGAAGGGACTGATGGGCCCCTCAGGCGTCTCCTCACAGCGGGAGGAGGATGAGGGTGAAGGGACTGATGGGCCCCTCAGGCGTCTCCTCACAGGGACCATGGCGGGGAGGACGGGGTGCGCGGATGACACCCGATTCCCTCTGTCCCTCACAGGGGCCATGGCGGGGCGGGGGTCAAAGACCAGGTTCCCTCATGGGGGCTCCTCACGGCGCGGACACGGGACCCGCTGGGGCCGCTCCCCGCGGGCAGGGTGAGGGGAGCCGGGTCCCCCCCTCCCCGCCGGTCCCTCCCCCGGCAGGTGGCTCCCGCGCGGCGGCGGCGGAGGCCGGTGGGTGACGTCAGCGGCGGGGGCGGGCGCGCGGTGCCGGTGCGCCGGGCCGAGCGGAGCCGGGTCGAGACGAGCGGAGCGGAGCCGAGCGGAACCGGTGAGCGCGGTGCCCGCCCGCAGCACCCCTACGCTTGTCCGCGCCGCGCCGGTGCCGCGGGCTGAGCCCGGCGGGGGGCCCTCGGAGCGGGTCGCGGTGACCCGGGTTCGCTGTGCGGGGTCGGGCAGCGGGGGAGCCCGGCGGGACCCGCACGGCGGAGGGGGGGGGGGGGAGCGGTCCCTGGACCCCCCGTCGGTGCCGGTGCCGGTGCCGGTGTGGCCTCGCCTTTCCCCGGGGCTCAGCGCCGGCCTGCCGGAGACCCCCTCCCTCTCCCCCCCCCCCCGCCTCCCCAACCTCCGTGGCACGGTGCGCTTCGAGTCCGTGATGCGCCGGTTCGCCGCCCCGGAGGGGGAGCGGTGCACATGCATGTGGTTGTCTGCGGCTGTGTGCGTGCTTCGTGTGTGTGCACATACAGCCCCGTGTGCTCGCACGCCGCCGAGCCGGTGGCACCGTGCCGGGCAGGTCCCGGCCCCTTCCCCATCACCGGGCAGGCTGCTTTCGCTCCCCTTCTTCTCGCCGGAACGAGACCTTCCCATCTGGGAGTGTGCGTTGGAGATGGCAGTCGGCCGCGGTCCGAGCGTCCATAGGACCGAACGTGCTCCATGCGTGCGGGTCTGGCGGCCGCTACGGGAAGAGGCTTCACCCCAGGCGGGTGTAATGCGAGCGTCAGAAGCGGCGGGGAGAAACCCCGACCCTCGTGTCCCAGCGGCTCTGACCCGTCCTGCAGCCCCGAGGTGGTGGGTTGGGGGAGAGGTGTCCCCCGGGTCCAGTGTGTGTGTAGAGCTCCGGCTGTTCTCAGTGGTGGAGGTGTTGGGGTGCCTCTGGTACCTGTCTGTGTGCTTGGGTGGAGAAGGTGATGTCCAGATGAGGCCATGGAGATGCTGCGAGGGCTGGAGCAGCTCTGCTCTGGAGCCAGGCTGAGAGAGCTGGGCTGGGGCAGCCTGGAGAAGAGAAGGCTCCTGAAGGGGAGACCTGAGAGCAGCTCCAGTGCCTGAAGGGGCTGCAGGAAAGCTGGAGAGGGGCTTGGGACAAGGGATGTAGGGACAGGCCAAGGGGAATGGCTTTAACCTGCCCGAGGGGAGACTGAGATGAGCTCTTAGGCAGAAGCTCTTTGCTGTGAGGGTGCTGAGGCGCTGGCACAGGGTGCCCAGAGAAGCTGTGGCTGCCCCATCCCTGGCAGTGTTCAAGGCCAGGTTGGACACAGGGGCTTGGAGCAAGCTGCTCTAGTGGAAGGGGTCCCTGCCCGTGGCAGGGGCTGGAGCTGGATGAGCTTTAAGGTCCCTTCCAACAAACCATTCAATGATTCCACAATTACCTGGCCACACGAAATCACGATCTGTTGGACTGTAACCTTCACTGAGGTGATTTGGATCCCTGTGCAATGTGCCACCAACCAGCCACCCATGAGTTACCGGGTTTTTTCTCTGTGTTACAGGTTTATAGTTAATAAAATCCTGCAAAGAATCACAGATGAGACTAATCAGTAACAAAAATCCCTGAGGACCATGCTTGGGTACTGGCTTCCCTCTCTGGTCTTGCCCCATGAAGAGTGATGCTAAGGGCAGTGTCAGCATATACCTAATGTGTGTGGAGATGGTTACACCTGGTGTGAGATTCGTCCTCAAAACATTATGCACTTTGAAGAAATGGGGACAAACTCTGTTGAGGCTCTTGCATCATGCAGCCCTGTTAGCTGTCACAAGAAGAAAGTGTTTTAAATAGATCTAATTCCAGGAAACTCAGCAGGCTGATTGGAATTGCATTTTTAGTCTCCAGTTTGTGTATGTACCTGAGATTTCTGTCCCACTGTTCCTAGCTGGAGTGGACCACAGGTAGCCTGCTGCTCCTGCCTCTTACCTCTCATCCTTTCCGAAAATACTGCACTACACAAAGCTTCCCTGCGTTCCACTGGTTGGTTTTAAAATGCTTTATCTTAGCAGATGTTTGGCAATACTGAAATCTCTGTCATTGAGGGGTTTTAAGACAGGTTATACAGGAGGTTTTTGGGACCCTGCTTTTGCGCAATGGGGGGGGGGCACACGGTTAAACTGTAGACTGAGTTTCTCATTCTCTTTGGCAACCGTTCATCCCATCGGCAGCACAGAACTTGCTTCCAATTTTACTCATGGTACCTAATAGTGAATCTAGCAGCTATCTAATTCTCTATTCTTAGACTGCTTAAGTGCCTTACTTTACAATTAATTCTGCTTGCTGTTCAGATTTAATGGATTCTTTTAGACGTCCTCATCAGTTACTAATGCCTGGACATTTCTTTTTCAGTGCCACTTCTTTTCTCTTTCTGTGCCTTGTAGAAAGACCATGTTTCCACATCTCATTTTTTTCCAGAATGTGTATTTCACGACTTAACTCCTGCTGCTTTTCAAGATTTGTAACTTGTGGGGTCATTGATAGATGCTTTAAGTGAGTCCTGTACTCTCAGTGGTGCTGCTTGCTTTTGGCTTTTTAAAATTGGCCCTTTTAAATTTAGACACTGCTGCCATTATTTTGGGCTCATGGTTTCTGTGACTGGCACAGAAACAACCTATAATGGAAGAGGACTTGGATTAGACATGGCTTTCGTTTTGGCTTCATCCTTGTCTTGTAGATCTGCTGCTGCTCCTTGGGCAATTAATGTTGAAACGTGAGCTACTCCGTGTGCTAGCAGCAGTTTTTCATCCAAAAGACTTATCAGTGTGTTCCTTGGCTTTGGTATTGATTATTCATCAGTTGTTTTGTTGTGGTATTTTTGTGTGCCTGCCCAGGTGTATGTATGTCCTGAATGGTGGCAAGACCCTAACCATTCCTATGACATTGATTCCTGTGATACCGTACCCTAACCCTAACCATTTTTTGATGATTCTAAGATGTTGTCCTCCTTGCACCAGTGTGGCTGAACACGCAGAGTAAAATTCATTATTTATGACCTGCAAATACCCAACAAATAGTCTTTGAGTGTCTTTGACATCACTGCAGAAGATAATCTGCTGTATGTCCCAAACATACTTCATACGTTTTTCACTGTTTTGGCATGTTTAAGCACCAGATCTCTTTTGTGCCTCAATGTCTCCATACTCCTAACTGACAGCTGCACCTTCCAAACCTCCCAAGCTGCGCTTCCCAGGCAGGCACAATGCCGATGGGTGCAGCCCAAGCCTGGCACTGGGAAGCTACTGTGTGTTTCCCATGATCTCTGCTAGGGCAAGGTTAAACAGTCATCTGCTTTGAAGGCTTTCCAGGCAGAATTCCATGTGAGGATTTACAGGAGCCTATTTCAGCCCTACTGAAAGGTGCCAGGATTACCCTGTCCCTGGAGCTGGGTCAGGAGCGGGACAAGCTCACAAATCTCCCTGCTGAAAACTTCCCCTGGCTGGGAGGCTGTGGGGGGAATTAGCGCTGCTTGTTCCCGCAGCGCTTCACATCCGAGCTAAGCCTGTCTTTAAAAAGCAGCCAGCGTGGTTGTGCTTGGAACAAGCAGCTCAGTTTCTATATTATACACAACAGTCATCTCTGTAGGAAGCTGGCCAGCCCACGCCGCTGCAGCAGCCCGGAGCTACATGGCTCTTAGTGTGCTTATCCTTGGGGCGTTCCTGGGAGGACGGGAAGGAGCAGGGGGCACTCAAGGAAGAGGCTTTCTGGAGCACTGGTGTGAGCCTTCATTCCCTGGTGGCGTGAGGAGCATTGCCCAGGTATGTGTGTGTCTGTTGGGTCACTGGCAGGGATACTCCTCCTGAGAAAAGACCCACAGGTCTTACTCCAGGCTGAGTGGTGGGAGACTTGGAGTCCATATGATTTCCCATGGAAGCGGATCAGCTGCATCCCAGCTTCATTTTAGGATCCCTCAAGATTCAGGAAAGAGCAAACAACTCCCCGGGGCTGATAACCATCGGTGTCCATCTGTTCCAGCTGCTCAGATTGTTTGCACAAGTCAGTTCTTGGGCTACACCTGATTTTACAACCCTATTAATTACATGGTAATTGATACTTATTCAACAATTAGCTATGTAAACTGAGATAAAAAGCCCAATCAAATTTCATGTTTCTGAAGGCTTCGAAAGCCCATAATCCCTACCTAAAGGGAACTGCAGAACATCTCTGGACCCTGAGAGAGGCTTGTTCCTACATGTAAGTGAAGTGGGGCAGGGGAATGCAGCACATCAGCTGCAGCCTTTCTAGAAGGAGTTGTTCCCCCTTCCCCATCTCCCATTTTTATGGCTGTGATGCTGCCAATCCTTCTGGAAGGAGCTGGGGGTATCCCCATCCCCAAACCACATGCTTCTGGTCTGGGGGTTTATGGAGGAGAAGAGGCAGAGGAAAATGCAGGCAGGATCATGTCTGCAATCCAGGTGGAATATCTTCCCAGTGGTTGTGCCCTTGCTGGGGCTGTGTGTGTGCTCCATGAACTCCCCCTGCCCCATCCCATGAGATACGGAAAGTTCTGAGCCATTAGAAAGTGCCTTTGGGTAAAGGTAAATTAAACCCTTGCCTGCTGTGAGGAGGCAGGGCTGGAAATGTGAATGTGGAAATAGGTCCCAGCTTAAAATGACTTCAAGGACAAAGGGTAGGTGCTGGGCTTCTCAGGATCTGATTCAGATGGGACCAGTTCCAATTAAAATGAGCTCAAGGAGAATGGGAAGAGAGGAAACAAGATTGTTTCTGCATTTCTGTCAGTTTTGCAGCGTGGAACGCTGAACTGGTTTACATCTCTTCTACAAGCAAGGAAGCTGACCCAGGGAGTATTTCAGATAATTCCTTTTAAGACTTATAATTCTTTCTCTCTGGGAATTCTGCTTTCTCAATGTTTTTTTTTAGTCGAGGTTGTATCAGCTTCAGAAAGCCTTTCCCCAGAGCCTTAAACGCATGTCTGCCTTAGTTTCCTTCCACATATCTCCCAGGCTCAGTGTGGTCAGAAGTGCAGAAATTCCATGAATTAGAAATAACTTCATGTCTCTAGTAAGGCAGGGAGCAGGCAGCTGCTGCTTCTGTGCAGGTAAGCAAGGCTT